GTATGTACACACATAAATGAGGGTCTATTGAACTTTTCCTGCCCTGTAGCTGACATCTTAGTCTATGTAATAGACCACGGCGAATGTACATGTATTATGCGCAAACAGTTTGCTGTTTAATTAGGCAAGACCCCACCTCTTGACTTCCTAGATTTTGACCAATCAGCAGGCGCTTTCTATAGGTCTATCGGGCGCGTCATAGACATGGATTTAAAAAAAATGTCACGGCGCACGGTGCTCGGTATTATGTTACACGAATGCGCTGTTGTTGTATTACAAAACGCTGCATTCAAATTGACCAATCACAGCGTTAGTCCTGATTTTGGGATGAAATGACGTCACGATTTAGTAAAGTCAACCCTGATTGGCTGGCGCGCGGCTTGCATAAATCTGCATGCTTTGGCATATCAGACGTTAGACAGGAGATGGCTCCGTGGATAACGGGTGATACTCAGACTACTGACATCTATGATTTTAGAAAATTTTCTGAATGCACTCGTTAATGCTGCCACCTCCTTGAGTGATTATGAATAGGAAACTAACTACCTACCAACAAATAAAAAATCCTTTGAAGTCATTCTAAATGATACATGTATGTACATGTATATTCCTGAATGGTCAATTGGTACACGTTGGATCCTAAATATAGAACGACCCATGTACATGTACAGTATGTTTATGTGCATGAATACATAATTTATAAACGAAATTGATTTTCATAGTAATTCAATTTTTTGAAATAAATCACGCTGCCACTTTGCCAGACTGCTTTGCCACTGGTTTCAGTTTAGTTCGTATCATTTGAGCGCACATGCACTTGTACATTGTGCGTCATTGTTCATGTTCTGGGAGTAGGTCTTTTTTTTTTATTGGCCACTTGTGCGTTGCTGCGATATTAGTCATCGTGCATAAAGCTTGGTATTGCTCGGGCTATTGTCAGTAGAAAACTGTGGACTATTGTGTGTGTGTGTAGCTAGAGGAGTATCCTGAATAATTGGCCTAATCATAGAGTTAAAAATCATAGAGTTGAAAATAATATTGGGGAGAGGGGTGGGTGGGTGGACCTTTTTTGACCCTGTAGGGTGCGCTCTTTTCCCCCCATTTTCTGACCTCCCTTTTTCTTTATATAAATCCATAGAGGAAAAGGGAGTAAGTACACAATGCATCAATTTAGCAACAGTCGTATTGGCCCCTCGCCTTGTTTACTTTATAAATACAGAAGCCAAAAAAATAAATAAATAAAAGCACTCATTTGGTGGAAAGGGGGGTGACCCCTGTCGCATTCCCCCCCCCCCCCCCCCCCCCGCTTCCCGCCAGATCCACCTTTGTCGGTACGTCTATGTACAAAAACAAATAACAGTCTTTCACTTTCCACAGGGTTTATATTTTCATAGAAAAGTTGTGGAAAATGTGCATGACAATAATAATAATTTCTTTGAATTCTAATCGGATGCTATCTGGTACAATTTTAATTCATTGTTCCTGGCAGTAATTTGTCCTTCTTACCCAAAACGATGTGTGTTTTTTTTCACTTAAGTTAAGGGGTTGGATTCTAAGAGGTTCCCTGGACGTATTGCGCTGTACATTCTATACTAAACACATCTTACATAAGTATAAAAGATATCATACAGATACCTTGTGAGTATCATTTGGTTTTAGGTTTCATCCCATCAATCATAGCTGGATGCAAGCTAGACATTTTGCGATGTGCCCTTCAGTGTCCAGCACTGAGCTCCTAATGCGATCAAAGGTTGCTGGAGCATTACGAGCAGAGTGAATGAGCACCGCCGAATCTGAGTTGTCATACGCAGAGTGTCAATTTCCTTAATTAAAACCAACTTACGACGCACTGTAATTCTAAAGCATATTTTGTCTGAGCACCCCTGTCTTTGTCCCCCCCAAAATATGGCTAACAGTACAAAAGACGCCCGATTTCCGACCGTAATTTCACCTTGTTTGTTCTACATGTAATTGCGTACTTTTGGACAGCCATGCTGTGAGATCATCGAGTTCCATGTCCTGCAATTAAGTTTGATCTAGGCAATTTTAAGATTTGGTGTTTCACATCTGTGGTACATCGTATACTGAAATTTGTATCCCTGTGGAGACATTTCTTTGTTCTCGTGTGGTAAAGTTTCGAGTTTGAAGTGAACTTTCAAAATGCTCTTATTTTAACCAGAATTAATTTCCTTGGGTGAAATTCAGACTTACACGTAATATCCCTTTTCTAAATCTCTTCCATTTGCGACGGATCAACCCACCTTGGAAATTCCTAGTTTTTGAGTAAAATCCATATCTATTTCGTAAAGACCTTGTGGAGACGTATTCATCTATAGAAATTGTCCTGTGGAGACGTACATGTATACAACCTTTTGTTCCCTATTGCGTGCACGTCTCCAGAGGGTACGGTGTATCAGATCTGACCTACATACATGTACATGTTTAGGTACATACATGTATGTACACATGTATATTACGTCACATAAAAACGAAGGAACCAGTGATTACCATGTATAATTTATTAGCATCATGGACTTTTCTAAAGTTTATTTAAATAAAATTATTTTTTTTGGTACAATATTTTTGTGGGTAGTATGGGAACCGGTACCCTATTGATGTAAAAGACGGGTACCTGAGTCACCGTAAAAGAAACCCCACCCCAAAATTCAAATCCTGGAAGTTGTCTGAAGGGCTGTATTTGCTGTGTGATAATTATAGAATGGTTTTTATCCTGAAAATTCCCCACATACAACAGTGAATGGCATTCAAAATCTTTCTTTTTCATTGTCTGAGAAGTAACTAAGTAATTTGTAAAGTTGGTCACTGGTAGTCGATCCCATAATCTGGAACCAGTTCTTGACATCAGCGGTTGGGTACTCGGGGATATTTACCGGTACACCCGGTTTCCTGGTTCCGATGCACGCCCCTAAAATGTATTTCCTGTTTCTCCATAACCTCCCCAACTCCATCAAAATTCACCCCCCCCCAAAAAAAAAAAATTTGGTGGATTTTGAGGACTTGGTCCTCTAGGCCTGGTTTGACTAAATATGGATGGAGAAAATGATATGTTGGACCTGGGCCTGAAGGCCTAATGCAAAGCATGCATTGGAAGCAGTGTGATCGTGGATTTTGGCAAACTAAGGCCAAAAAAAAAAAGTCTCCGGTTTCTGGTATGTGCGCACGTCGCTGTAGCCATGCGCGTCGGCAAAATGAAACAGTTTTTTTTTTCAAAGATGATGTCTCAAAACCGCCAAACTCACTGGTTTGACTGGAATCCTGCTGCTGCACAATTTTAACGTGTTTTTAGATTGGGTTATGGTCGAGAATAAGCTTTATGTGGCCTCTCTGGACTCCCATATATTTGCACGCACCATTTGCAGTTATCAGCTGACATTTGAAGCAAAAAATCAGGTAAAAAAAAAAAGCCGCGTCGCCGCACCACTTTTTGGGCAAGCTCCATACCAGAAACTGGAGACTTTTTTTTTGGCGTAATGGTCCAGTACTTAGTAAAAGACAGTAAGGAGTTTAGGTTGACTAACAAATGAATCTGATCAAATTTATACAATTTGTACAAAGTCATGTACAAATTACACATGGATGTGGAAATGGTTGTACATGTATTCCTAGCATACTGGTATGCATGTACATGTACATGTACATGTACATGTATGTACCGGTACACTGACATGCACATGTACTGCATGCAGTTGGGCATGCGGCCAACCTCCAAGCACTGTCGCAGTACTGTACAGGATTTCCTGCCAGAAATATGAGGAAGGAAATTCTGGGACACCGCAGCATCGATACAACTCTCATTACAGTCCAACTTCATTCTTACAAACCAAAGTGTCAAATGACGCTGTATTTAAGTATGATTCGCAATAATAACAATTAAATGAAATTGAAAATGACTACTGTGTACTACACATGAACATCATTTTACATGTACACATGTACATGTACATGCAGCCTTGCATGCATTAAAACCCGCCTACTGGTAAACCGACTTCCTCTCCCATACAGGTAGCTCTTGTACAGGCTGGTCACCAACTGCCGGAACTCCTATTGAAACCACATAGGCCCTAACTGTCAAAACCTGTTGAAGGGGTTTGATACATGTATAGATACATGTACATGGAGGGTATCCTCATACAGCAACAACATTTACTGCAATTAACGACCTTTTGCATAGCAGCCCTTGCCCTCATGAAAATCATGACGGGGGGGGGGGGGGGGGGGGTGCAGTTGCTTGTCAGGGGGGCCCGACCCCTTCCCCCCCGACCCTTGGCGACGGGCCTGATTTTGACAGATAGGGTACCTCTCTCCATTTTTGCACTGAGAGAGGGAGGGCTTTAATGTTTAACCCTTACTCTCTGAGGGTAGTTTACTGCATGTCAGTTGGTTATGCCAATGCCCTCCAGCTGCAGTTTTTTGGCAGATAACAAGTCTTAACAGTGAAGGCTCCAATTGGCAGGAGTTGGAGGCCCTGGAGGGTGCCTGATACTGACCAGCTGGGGGCACTTGATTGTTATCAGAGGACTCTCATTGTTCTCTGTGGCATGTATTGGAGTGCCTGTCCAGTTACCCTTGAAATGACATGGCAGATATTGGAGGGCCATGCAAAAAACATAGGAGATTTTCTTGAGGCACATATTGGCATGCATTGGAGGGTCAAGTAGGGTAAGGGTTAATATAGGTTGTTTAAATTGAATAAAAAGTGTCTTGGAGCATGTAGATTACCTATCGTATGAACTTGGCAAAAATCACATTTAATAACATATACTTTTACCAGATCAAAAATGGATACATTATTCTAATCTCTATACTGACATGTAATTTCTTTTGTATGTTTAAAATATTCTTTACGCATACTGCTGAATGAGTGAATCAGTTCCTTATTCTTAATTTCATATTGAATTAGGTGTCTATTTTATTCACATTTTCATCTGCACTTTACATTTTCTCATTTATGTGATTTGTTCCCCCTTCTATTCTTACAGGACCAGTACGGCCAACTGGAGAAGCACACGGAAAAGGGCATTGAGTTCCTGGATAAATATTGCCACTTTGTCAAAGAGCGACAGCGGATTGAGACCGAGTATGCCTCAGCGCTCAAGTGAGTAACCAATGAACCAAAGAAAATCTGACCCAAACGTTCAGGTCAGGGATTTCAAGTCACAATTCACCATATTGAAGCAAGTTGGGCTGTACACAATTACTTTTTCTGCATCCTCATAGGCACTGACCATGATGCGCATGCGTCAGTTGGTAATGGAATGGTTCTCGAACTTAACTTCCCTTTTAAAAAATTCCTCCAGTGCCATGAATGAGAAGAAAAGGGTGAATTTTATTTTATCGATCATCAGGACTTGATTAAACACAATTTAGGGAAGAAAATTCACTTTTGGGGAAGAAAACTGAAAATGTAAAATTCCGCAATTAGTAGTTAGTTTTGTTATTCGGCGCAGCACGCACAAGCATTGGCGCGCGCGGTTGCTATAATTCGTCGGATCAGTGCGCGACATCGCGTGTATAGCTGCAATTCAAAACAATTCAAAACATGATTCAGCAACTTTTGATTTGAAATTGAGATCCTAGAATGCTGTTTTTCTCGGAACTTGCAGCTAAAGCTTAGCTGAAACTTCATCAGGTTAGTTGTTCAGTATCCTTCATTAGATTTAGAACACTTTTGTTGCTTCAAACGAACAAAATGCACAAATTACAAATGATGGACTATATCTTTAAGCCATTTGGAGATTTTTCAAATAATACAAATTTAGCCCCACAGTTTTCAGTCAAAAATTATGTTTGCATTTAAAAGGGTTTGCCGGTACATATTTTTGGTACCGAAAAAGCTGCATAGTGTAAATAAAGCAGTGCTACCGGTATTTTCACGTTCATGTGTGCACTGGGAATTGGAATATAGGTAGCAGGCTAATGGATTGGTGCTCAGTTACGTTACCATCCTGGAAGGGGGGGGGAGGGTTCATTCTGAGGGATATTGTTACCAAAGTACATATGATGCAAATACCTTTGCCTGGTCAAATTTATAACTCAGCACAAGTAAATGCGCACAAACGATGATTATTAATTCTGTGGCTGTTTCACGCATGCATACTTAATGAGATTAAAATTAAATTATCAATTTCTTGAATTCTCATTTACCGGTACTATTGAGGGTGGTTTTTTTGTGTGTATCGTTTCATCTTGGAAGCAGTGAGGCTTAACCTTAATTGACTCCGTCTAGGGCATATGGTTCAGTCATTTGAGAATACGCTGGTAATTTTCACTACAGGACTTGAGAAAAAAAACAAGTTGGCTGGAAAGGTGTTGCAAATATTATACAAATTCGTTTGTGTACCAATATTGCTTACAAATACATGTACTAACATGTACATACCTATGTACATGTATGTAACCCATGGTTTATACATGTAATAGACATGTAGTATACATGAACATGTACGTACAACAGCATTTTAACGTGTAAGCCACCTACATGGGCCTTATATATGCGCAAGTTGGCCATTTTTGTCTAGTTCCCTGAATGTATTTCATTAATTGTTAACTGTTGAATGGGATGGCGCCAGACTATTTATGCAGGCATAATGCAGCCTTCTTTTACTGTCATTTTTGTTTTAATCTGGCTTACAAATTTTAAATTATTCATTGAAGCCGACTGTAATTAATTAGTACTTAACTTGCTTTCATTTCTCTTCGCAAGTTCCAAAAATTAAGATTTTCCCTCACTTTCAATTCAATATGGCCGACTCGTGCATAAGGCCCGTGGTACAACTTCATGTACATGTATGTGTACATAATAATGAAGTTACATGTTGTATGCAAATTCCAATTGATATTGCACGTTAGCACATATCACTGTAATTCAGCCTATTGACCATTCTGTAGAGGCCCCCTTCAATGGTGAAAGCATTGTGCTAGCTATTGTTCAGATAATACATCATGGGGCAGTTGCTTTGTACAACAGATTCCCAATGCTAGTCGCCATTGAAGGGGGCCTCCGTGTACATGTATGAACATGTACAACAATAACATGCTCGGATTAGTCTACAAATGTCTGTGTACTCACATTCACATGCATTTTGCATACAGTATGGGATACATGAATGATTGTACTCTGTACCCATTGTACCAGTGTTCTCTTCTCATATCTTAAATCCATCTTAAACAAAAGGATTGTTTACACAGTAACGATGTGTTGCACAGGTGTCAACACAGGTTCAACTGGTTCAACCATGGTTCAACACAGGCATTTGATCGGCAGCACTTCTAGTGACCATATCTGATAGTACAAAGTGCATTTAGAAAAACAACGGAGCAATTTGAGATAAATACATTGTTTGTGCAATGTTCTGTTTTGTTGACCAAAAAACTCAATAATACTAATAATAGATTCAGTTAATAAAAATCTTTGTTTGTAATTTATGCTCACAGCTCAAACGAAATGTAGTATTTTGCGTACATACGGTACATGTACATGTATCATGTTTTTAAATTGAATTACATTGTACAGGTAGAGACATGTACAGGTAGAGACATGTACATGTACATGTTTGTTTGCATAATACCGCATACTGTTGGACACTTCAAAACAAAACCAGATTTGTTTACATTGGGGGGAAATGAAACTAGCATTTTAAGCTGCCATTTATAACCTTCCATGTACAATGTAGACACACTTACACTGTCGTGTAAATATATGATAATTGATTAAGGACTTGTGCAACATGTATGGTCTGTAAAAGGACCAATAACCTGGGCCCAATTTCATAGAGCTGCTTAAGCAGAAACTTTGCTTAAGCACGAAAAAACATTGCTTAGTAAAATTAGGTTACCGGCCAAAACTCCATGTGATGTACATTGCTTGTGACTGGTATTTACAATGTAGCTGTTGTTTACTTAGCATAACAATCGCATGGAGTTTTGGCCGGTAACCTGATTTTATTAAGCAAGACGTTTTTGTGTTTAAACAAATTTTGTGCTTAAGCAGCTCTATGAAATTGGCCCCTGGGTTTTGTGTTCAATCTTTATATTGATGAAATAAAGATTTGAAAGGGAAGATACAACATTTGCAAACATCAAAAAACAAAATTATTAAATTATCACGAAATACCTATTGTAAGGGAATGACAGTCTAAAGCAACGCTGGTCGGCCGACCAGCGTTGGAGAAAACTGGCTTTTTGTTTCAAAAAGTGCTCCTAATTTTTCATATTTAGTTATTCCGCATTTTCTTTGCATTTGATTACACACCTGTGAAGGGGTACAAACCTGCTAGACTGATTCTCTGACCTTACAATTCCCCAAAGTCTATAAAGTGCTCCATTTCATCTTAAGTGGGGTCGGGGAACCAGACTACCAGAACATGATTGGTTTTCTTGGTTTTTCCAGCATCTACAAGCCCAAAACGTCAAAAGTCAGTGTATAACAATATTTTCTATAACATACTAATCCTCCAAGTCCATTTGTTTCTGAAAATTGCAGTAAAAGTAAATGTTGTACATTCCCTTTAAAGGGAATATACAACATTTGCAAACATCGAAAAATTTAATTACCAAGTTTTTACAAAATATTTTACTAAGATCTTGGTAAATGACAGTCTAAAGCATCCTGTAAAATTATGGCACCTGGTGTGAAGTCATTTTCGAGAAAATGGTATTTTTGTATACATTTCCAATGGTGGTTGGCCGACCACCGTTGGAAAAACCTAACCATTTTTCAACTTCTGCTCCAAATTTACCATTTTTTTCAGTTCAAATTTTGTTTGCTATTGGTTACATGTTTATGAACGGGTGCAGGCCAGCTAGACTGGATCCCTTACCTTACAATTTTCCGGCATCTATAAATTGACCAATTTCATTTTTAGTGGAGTCAGGGAACCAGACTACTTGAACATTTTTGTTTTTCTTGGTTTTTCTAGCATTTTCGAACACAAAACTTCAAACATGTCAGTGTCACAATATTTGATGTATTATACCGGTACTAACCCCTCAAATAGTTATTTTCTGAAAATTACGGCAAAAGCCAATGTTGTACATTCCCTTTAATATAACTGTACACATCACGCATCACTATTGTGTACACTGTGTCCATATGCACCGGTACATGTAGTTTCTAAATTCATTTCCATGGAGTTGTACATGTACGTGTCCATAGTGTTCTTTATTGATGGATATTTAATTACATGTACCGTACATGTACATGTATATTTGTATGTTTCCAAGAAAATTAAAGGAAAAAAGACTGCTTGTCGGTTTGAGTGACCTGAAATAAGTGTTGTAAGGTTACAAGGTAGATGACCAGATGTTTCAATTGAAACTAGGATTGAAACTTGCCCTTTAAAATTTCAAAGAAATGTCCGTGTTCATGTATCCCCTGTGTAATACACTCTGTAGGCCTGTGTATTTTCTTAGCCTAGTGTCTCCATTTTGTTCAGTGTTGTCCATACGTGTACAATGAATGCGCAGAAGACATAAAAATGGGAGTCTTGGCATGCAGCCAAAATGACATTACCTGAGTATGAACACACGTGTCATGGAGTTGAAAGATTGGTGCAGCATTAGAGTGTTAAATTACAGTTAAACATACCATATTTGTCCAAACCAATTCTGGAAGTTCACAGTGATTTAGTAAGTGAGTTTTAACACTCTGACAGTTCCAAATTGATTGAGCTCATTTATTTCTTTTTGTCTACAGGTGCATTTTTTTTTTCTTCAATTTAGTTCAACCCCATGGGCATTTCTGATGGCAAGAGGCCCTGGTCCAATATTCCCTCTTTCTCACGCTCCGCCATGGGCATGCACAGCCTCGATCTGGCAACTTTACACAATAAAAATAGCCGGTTCAGTGATCTGAACCCCAACACGGGAATCACTGAACCGGCTATATCTATTGTGTAAAGTTGCCAGATCGAGGCTCTGCATGCCCATGGCGGAAGTGTGAAACGAATGAAAAGAGCGAATTGGGCTCTGTCAATTGGGGTGGCATGGGTGGCTTGTGCGTAAAGCGCTCGCCTCTCACCAAGGTGACCCCGGTTCGAATCCCGGCCGTGGGACACATGTGAGTAGAGTTGTGCGTTGGTTCTCTCCTGTGCCACGAGGGTTTTTCTCCGGGTCCTCCGGTTTTCCCCCCTCCGGAAAAATCAAACACTTTCGATCTCAGGCTGTGCTCCGTGGTCATATATGGGTCGATGTGGCCGGCAGCCATAGGCGCCTTTACGTGCCAGCGGCCCGACCACGTTGTAGCCGCGTCCTTCGCAATTCAGCATCCCAGCTGCCAGTAAGGATGATTAGCCTCCCAAATTATTATTATTATTAAAAAACCACATACATAGATTTAGGCTACAGCCTCAGAATAGTCTGAGTATCACCTGTTGTCCACGGAGCCCTGTCTCTGGTCCAACGTCTGATATATTTAAGCATGCAAATTTTTGTGACTCACACGCCAGCCAATCGGAGTCGACTTTACTAAATCGTGACGTCATTTCATACCGAAATTTTGACTAAGTCGTTGATTGGTCAATTCGGATGCAGTGTTTTTGTGATACAACAACGGCCGGGCATACAGATCTATAAAACATTGGCTCCAGGCTTGGCGCATTGCGTAACATATCGTTAGAGAGCGCGTGACCGCAGCCTTTGTTTGCTTAATTTACTACGTAAAAGAATAATAGATGTCGTGTCTAGGTTTTATTTATAGATGTCTATAAAGTGACAACGGGTATATGGCCGAAGACCCGATAAAGAAAGCACCCGCTGAATGGTCAGAATCTCGAGGTCAAGACGCAGTCTGTTTTGCATAATTAATCACCGAATCTGCTCGCATCATAGGCCCTTGCTTATCAGAACAGAACTTCAGAAGTTCTTCGCAATCCTTGGTTGTGGCATAAGCATGTGCACAAGCCAAGCTTCTTTGCTAACCGGCGATGAAATACATGTACACATTTACAGTTGAACTATGGATTCCTCTCACAGTAAGCAGAACCGTGAAATACCTGTACATGTAAGGTTGCTAAGCAGAAGAAATATTGCTTAGCAGATTGACGTGATAAGCAGATTTCAGCTGAGAACCCGTCACAAGCAATACACATTACATGACATTTTGGCAGGTACATCTATCGCTTACTATCACCATTCTCAGCTGACAGCGCTAGCAGAAAAATTCTGTGCTAACCTTGTAAGCACAGAATCCTAAGTTACATAATATGCATGCGCAGAAGCCAAAATTCCTCGCTAAGGCCAAAAAAAAATAAAAGTTCTGCTTCCGATTACATGGCATTCGAAAATAGGGTAGGTACATGTAGGTAGGGAAATTTTTTTTTTGGCCAATTTTTTTGTGTACGATCATATGGAGGCGTCTGCATGTACCTGTAGGCAAGGGTAAAAGGTATAAAGTGATGGTTTTGGGTGTTTTTTTTTCTCATTTTTCCAACAAAAAAATTAGGGTAGGGGCTATCATATTAGGGTAGGTAGGGAAACCGGAAGCAGAACTATTATTTTTTTTGGACTAACCTGTGAAATACGCTTACTGTAAGCACGGAGTTTCTGCTATAGCAGGGATTTTTCGCTAATGGTAAGCAGAACCATAAAATTGGGCCGAGGTCTTTATCTTGAGGGGTTGGTGGGGGGTGGGGTGGGGGGGGGGGGGAGTTGCCTGCCCAGCACATCTTGCGTTGCTTACATGTACAGTGTACATGTGTAGCTGATGAAAACCTCTAAAATTACAATTACTGTGTGGGCGCCTGGCATTTGTAATTCAAGCCAGCCACACAATATAGGCACAGTTGTCATTATTTTTTTTTGCCTGATGATAATTTAGCCTTCATTGGCAAATTCCTGTAAATCATTTAGGTCAGGCAAAGACTTACATGTAGGTCAGGCAAAACTGTTCACAGGAAAAGTGGCTCAGGGAAAAATTTTGAAGAGAGAATGCAAGTTTTGAGGACCTTTGTAGATGCAAAAACTGTTAAGACAAAGCCCAGTCAACCAAGAGCTGTCGCACACAGTGTCAAAATGTTTCACCAGCATTAGGGCCTTTCAAAATATCCAAATTCTCTGAGTTGGACCCGGGCCCAACATGGAGATTTTTGGAACCCTTTTACACCAGCAAGAATCCAACACGGCTCCTACACGGGTCTGGCGCTCTACACGGGTACAAATCCAACCCGATTGAAAATCTGAGCGAAATGATGATTTGTGATTGAAAAAAAATACATTATTAAAATCAATAAAAAGATGGAAAGTGAGCCAAATAATATGTGTCCATTAGCACAGGCGTAGCGAGTTACAGTGAAAACCATTCACGTACAGACAAATGTGCTGGTACCGGTCATAGGAAAATTGGGAACTTTGCTTAACTCGAACTTCGGGTATCTTGAATTTTTTTTATCCATTCCCTGGAGATTTGACTTACTGAGATTTCACTGTCTGTGTTTTTATTAAATGGGTATCATAAAGTAGGAAATTCCTCGATTGGCTATAAAATTATTGGCCAGTTATATACATGCTTCCATTTCCTTATTCCAACTCTGTCCTTTGCATGCTAGTGTTTGAGTCAGTTTCTCTGTATAGAATCCTATCGCATGGAAACAATTAACTTTCATTTACGCAAACAGGAAATGCATACATATATAAACATTATTTCAAAGACTACACATGTCATTCATGTACGAATACCTACTATTTTAATCTGAAACCTATTTGGTTCTATAGACAAGCTGTGATTTGGGGGTGATTGTACAGACCTCTATAGACCGAGTTCTGTACTTTTGTTGAGTTTCGGCATGTCTCACCGTATGAGTGGGTTAGCATCAGAAACGAAAAGCAAAAGTCATCCATGCATTACTTTACTGTATTGTGTTGCCCTATTCTTCCTTTGATGTGCACAAAAGCCCACATTTCTAATACCACTTCCACTTTGTACTTATACGTGTAAAAAAATTAATTGCTTCCGTGTAAGTTTTTGCCTATTGAAGAAATATTATTAGAATTATAGAAGGGTATTTATTTAAAATTTATTTCACTTTCATGTACAGTTGACCAAATGCTTGAATGAAACAGTACATGTACCATTACAAGTAAACAAATTACTTAATTTTCACATAAAGTACATATGTTCTACACATTGTTTGTGATTTAATTTGTTTACATACATTTTGTGGATTCAGACTACAAATAAACAACCCTACCTCTAATATTTTCTTTATTTTCTTGTCTTTTCTCTTTTCTCTAGGAGACTCATCAAGAACTATCAACCAAAGAAAAAAGAAACAGAAGATGTCACGTAAGATAGCAGTCCCTGAAATTTACCCTGCTACCTTGTTACATCTGGTTTGGGTGTGATGACTTTGAGGATTAACCCTTACTCCCTTGCATGATTTACTAGGAACCATACCCATCCTGGCAAATTTCGGCACCATATGGGAAGCTGCACACACATATTACTGACTTTGATTCTGAAGGTGTGCCAATCCAATGTAAAAGACTGTCAGTTTGGGGTACTGTACCCATCCTGACAGATTCCAACAAAACATGCCTTTGGAGTTTGATGGGTTGAGTTCTGTTATGAAATTGGCTTTCCAGTCATTATGTTTTGTGCTACATATTTTTTTAAATCTGAAATTTATTTTTGGGGGTTTGGGTTCCGCTTTTTTTGACTCACCCTGTATCCTGCTTTTATTTATCCTACTTAACAATAATATTTCTAACCCAAATGATTTCCAATCAGATGTTTACAGAAGAGTTGGGAACTCTTGCCTCGCTTTGCATAAAGCAGAATGACCCCTGTTGAGCTTTTGACTAATTCAGCGAACAAAATCAGAAGTCATTTTTAAGGTGGAACCATGTTCGCGCACATGCCGCACGCCTTGAAGGAACCCACAGTGTGTGGGTACTACCTGAACGTGACTCACGCAAACCCTGGTTCCACCTCAGAAAATGGTTGTCGCCGAATTAGTCTGTAACCTCTCATAAGGGTTGTAGACCCGTACTTGCTAAGGGTCATAAGTCCATCGCAGGTGTGTCGCAAGTCCATCACAAGTCCGTCACAGGTCCGTCACGAGTCCATCACAAATCAATCACAAGTCCATCACAAGTCCATCACAAGTCAATCAAGTGTGTCACAAGTCCATCATAAGTCCATTACAAGTCCATCACAAGTCCATCACAACTCTATCTCAAGTCCGTCACAAGTCCGTCACCAGTCCGTTACAAGTCCGTCACCAGTCTGTTACAAGTCCGTTACAAGTCTATCACATGTCCATCACCAGTCTGTCACAAATCCGTCACAAGTCCATCACAAGTCCGTCACAAGTCCGTAACAAGTCCATCACAAGTCTGTCACAAGTCCATCACAAGTCCATCACAAGTCCATCACCAGTCTGTCACAAGTCTACCACAAGTCTATTACAACTCTATCACAAGTCCATCACAAGTCCATCACAAGTCCGTCACAAGTCCATCACAAGTCTATCACAAGTGCGTCACAAGTCATCCAGTCCCAAGTCAAATGCCTTGTGACGAAGACAGTCCTTTGTTAACTTTGCTTCCGTTGTTACTTGTGACTCGATTTGTACATTGGCTAGCAATTCTATTTGTGACCAGGGGCCAATTTCATAGCGCAACTTAACGGTCAATTTTGTGCTTACATAGCCTCTGTCTTTTTCATAGAGACTGTAAGCAGTAAGCAACAGCAATTTAAGCATGCTTAACCCCAGGTAAAACAGTTGCTTAAATCAGTGACGTAAGAATAGAAATCTCCATGTGTGCGGAACCGTTAGCACGTCCACACCATGAAATAGTGCTTACGCAACATCATGATTTTTTGCTACAGTAAGCACAACTTTTCTGCTAACTGTTACGCAGCGCTATGAAATTGGGCCCAGGCTAATGATGCCATGAAATAGTGCTTAAGCAGCAGCATGATTCCCCTTCCCACAGATTCTCGACGGTGACGTCTTTCAAGAGCATCTTGACGGAGCTGCAGGGCGTGGCCAACCAGCATGACCTGGTAGCCGAGGGGTTAATGACCCGGGTCACCAAGGAGGTGCAGACGGCTATCCAGGAGTTCAAGCAGGAGCGCAAGAAGCTGCTGCAGGATGCCAGGGCCAAGGAGGCGGCCAAGGACAGATCCATCAAGAAGATGGACCAGGTTGGTCACAAAAGCTCGTAACCCCCGTCAATTCGGGCTATTCACAATGCAGTACGCCACCAAGAGTTTCCCATGGAGAGTCCATTTTTCAAGTTTACGGTCGACAAAACATGGCCCATTTGAACCTGAGCTCATTTGTTATAGGTTGAGGCATGGCATTCTGCCGCTTTTTACAAAAAACACCATATTGATAAAAAGAACAGGGTAAACAGATACTTGAATCATACGCTTATGAAACTACTGACCGAAAAAACTAACAATTTCAAATGTCCTGTGCTGCGAATTTGTCAACCATCTCCCACAATGCACTGGGGAAAAGTAACTCTCCGTGGCAAACTCTTGGTGGCCCTCTGCGTTGTGAATCGGCTGAATTGTCACAAAGAGAGAGGGTTGGGGGAGACCACTTGGATGGGCATTTGACCGTATGTCTGGGGCATATTCAGATTAGTTGTGCGTACTGCGCGCCATATGCGCAAACCAGTGTACGCTGGCGGTTTGTCCCTCCCATAGTGCTCTTGAAAGTGCTCGCAAAGCGCCACCTACTGTTAACGCACGGAGTCTTGACATACCATTGGAGCGCATAATACCAATGTGTCAGAGCACCGCACAATTGTAGTAAATTGTCTTGCCCGAGAACACAAACACCATGTTCCCTCCTGGGGATTGGAACCGACGTACCATCACGTATGGTCGGACACCGTAATCATGGGAGTGAGGTGACAACACGAAAGTCATGATGTTACGCTAATCCAATCCAGTTCTGCCCCAACTGCCCTGCCTGCTACTCCCTATTAGTCTGAGGATCAGGGAGTAATTACAACGTAATACTACCCAGCACCGCATCCACCTAGTACTCTTCTTTCAAGGCGAATGCCACCCCCACCCCCCGCATTTACTGCTTTAGGCTTGCTAAATTCAAAATTGATTTGCCTCTAATTTGTGCTTAGTTCATATATCAATTTGTTTTTTACCTAGACAAGGGACTCCTACAGGCAGGCGTATAACTCATTCATCGCTGCCAAGCAACAGTATGAAAAGGTGGAAAGTGACCTCAATCAAAGTAGGGCTCAACTGCACAAGGTAAGGCAACATGGATCTAAATGATAAAAAGATCCATTTAAGCTGTACACATTTTGGAGTATTTTAGTTTGAGTTATATAAATAATGAAAGGTTTGCGGAAACACCATGTGCGAATAATTTCTCAACTAAGAGAATGGTTCTGAAAAGAACCAGAGGTATAAACTCGACGTTCCGGTCAGTATGCTCTGACCGTCTTCAGGAGAGTTTATACCTCTGGTTCTTTTCAGAACCATTCTCTTAGTTGAGAAATTATTCGCACATGGTGTTTCCGCAAACCTTTCATTATTTAGTATCTCCACCATGCAAAGCCTCAAATCTTACTTATTGAGTTATATAGTTTACATGTAAGGCTTGGAACAGGAAAACGTCTTTCCTAGTTCTCCGTCCACAAGAGCCGCCTTCTTTTCTTTATGTGAGCCCATCTGTGCAACCATTGGTGCAACATTTCTGCTAAATGTTAAGCAGTTGGGCTGTGGAAATTTGAACTGGCAAGCTTTGTAAGACCTAGCCACGAAATTTCAATGTTTTTATTTTGATTTTTTTTTTTTGGAATGAATGTACAGAGCAAGAGCAACATGACGCAGAAGGACCAACAACGAGAGGACGCAAAGAATGAGTATATCCTGCAGCTGGCTCAGACAAACAAGGACCAACAGGACCACTACTACAATCAACTACCCGGCGTCTTTAATGTAAGTTATTAGACAACAACCAATACCCCATCCCCACCCCAGTCCCTGCCCCCAACTCCATCAAAATCCATCCTCCCATTTGGGGGGATTTTGGTGGACAAGTCGTGAGTACCATCAAAATCCACCTATACCAGTGGTGGATTCGTGGTGGATTTTGAGGGAATTGGGCCTGAAGCATTTTGTGAAGCAGACTCTTTAACCCTTATCTCCCCAACTCCATCAAAATCCATCCCCTCATTTTGGTGGATTTAAGGGGACTTGGTTCTGCAGACCAGGTTGGACTAAATATTGATGGAGTATGATGGACTTGGGCTTAGAGGCCTAGAGCAAAGCATGCATTGGAAGCAGTGTGATTGATGGATTTTGGCGGACTTGGTCGAGTACTTAGTAAAAGACAGTAGGGACTTAGGGTTGATAGAAGTCACTGTATAAACCAAACCCATTTTTTGGACATTTTCAGTTTTCTTGTCTGTCCAAACACTCAGATTTCTACTTTCTACTCGAGAGTTCTACTGTCATTAGTTTCTGAGGTGTATTTGCTTCTGTTTCAACATACATACATGTACTTGTTGGAATCGAAAAGGGAATCCACATAAGGCCAAAAAAAAAAAGTCTCCGATTTCTGGTATGGAGCTTGCCCAAAAAGTGGTGCGGCGACGCAGCTTTTTTTTTTTTTTTTTACTTTTTTTTCTTCAAATGTCGGCTGATGACTGCAAATGGTGCCAGACTATTATTTAGTGCAAAATATATGGGGGTCCAGAGAGGCCACATAAAGTTTATACTCGATCGTAACCCCATCTAAAAACACGTTAAAATTGTGCAGCAGCAGGATTCCAGTCAAACCAGTGAGTTTGGCGGTTTTGAGACATCATCTTACATTGAAAAAGACAACTTTTTCATTTGCCGATGTGCATGCCTACGGCGAAGCGCGCATACCAGAAACCGGAGACTTTTATTTTTTGGCGTTAACTTCAATTATTTTTCCTCTAAATTTCCTTCCAGAAACTACAAGAGATGGACGAGAGGAGGATAATGAAGATCAGCGAGTACTACAAGGAATATGCCCAATGTCATCGCAATGTGCTGCCCATCATTGGCAAATGCCTGGACTGTATTACACAACACGCTGAAAATGTCAGCCAAAACGAGGTAATAATATGTGCTAAGCATAGAGCCGTCTTCATTTCGGCTTCGCCTGCTATATGGGTTCCTGACTTTGAAGATTCCAGCTCAACATCAGTCAATGTTTTCTTTCAGAAATATAAACCTGTATGATATATGAAGCAAGTGATTTTAAAATATGATTTCAACATTAAAACCTTTTAATGATAAAGCCAAACTGGAAACGAAGCTTTGAAAAAGAGCCATCATGTTTATTTTTAGCCCGGTGGCGGTTACCTGACCTACAATTTAGACGTCAGGGCGTCCGGAATTGTCAGGTCAGGGAACCAGACTATTTGTTTTTGACTGGTCCTAAAGGCCCAGCCTAGCGTCCTCTTAGTACCTGACTGACTGACTGACTGACTCCCCGACTGTCACTTGTGTTAGCATGGTTGTTGGCTGGAGAGTCGGGCAGTGCTGTCTTATAGGTTTACCCCATAAAGGGCTTAATCCGACCCATTGTGCACACCAGATGCCTGAAAAGACTTCCAGTGAATAGCCATTCGGAATCAATTCGGGCGATTCACAATGCAGTGCGCCACCAAGAGTTTGCCACGGAGAGTTCATTTTTCCCAGTGCATTGTGGGAGATGGCCGACAAATTCGCAGCGCGGGACATTTGAAATTGTTCGTTTTTCCGGTCATTGGTTTTGTAAGCGTATGATTGGAGTATCGATTGCAGTGCGCCACCAAGAGTTTGCCATGGAGAGTTCATTTTTCCCAGTGCATTGTGGGAGATGGTTGACAAATTCGCAGCGCGGGACATTTGAAATTGTTCGTTTTTCCAGTCATTGGTTTGTAAGCGTATGATTGGAGTATCTGTTTGCCCTTTTTTTGTTTTGTTTATCAATATGATGTGTTTTGTAAGGTGGCAGAACGCTGTGCCCCAGTCTATAACAAATTAGCTCACGTTGTCTACTGATACTCGTTCAAATGGGCCATGTTTTGTCGACCGTAAAGTTGAAAAATAGACTCTCCATGGCAAACTCTTGGTGGCGCACTGCATTGTGAATCTCCTGAATTGATTCGAATTCTGTGCACTCCGGGACCAGCTTTACATGACTTGCCTTGTTTTGTTTCCTCACAAAACATTTTTTTTTTGGTTTCAACAGGACTCCAAGAAGGTCACGATAAAGTACAAGTCGGGTCTGGTACCGCCTGAGGACTTCCAGATGATGGATCTAGACGAACCCCCCAAGGAGGAACCTGAGACCAAGCCGGACACGGTCTCAGGCAACAGCGTGTCCAGCGCCAACAGCTCGGGGGGCACCATATCTGGAAAGACAAAGAAAGCCAGGCGGGGGCTCAAGATCTTTTCAAAGGTATGGATGTGCAAAAAAAAAGGAGGCAGGTACTGCTCCTTTAAGGTGATGGATGTAAAAAAGAAAAGAAAAAAAGAGCAAGGTGCTAAAATTAGTCAGAGAGAAACTTGGGCAAAGTCCTGAAGAATTAATAAGCCTCTGTACTGATGACGTCACACTTTGTTTACATGTGTGCTTTCCTATGGTGCTCAGTGGACCCTGGGCCCCCACTGGCTCCATAGGAAAGTTGCACAAAGTGTGACGTCATCAGTACAGAGGATTATTGTAGAAAGAGCTTATTGATAGCCCACCAAAAAAAAAATCGAAAGCAAACTAAACAAAACAAAAATATTAGTAATAAATGAAATATAAAAAAATAAACAAAACATTGCTAGGAAAGCAGCATCACAATTGTTTTTTATTGTTGGAAAGCTCCTGTAGTTGAATGCTCGACCTTAAGCCATAATAATACAAGAGGGAAATGATTGTTTTGCTCTTTTTTAAGTTGAATTAAATGGAACACAACGCAGCAATATATTTAAGCAAATAAAACAGCTGCAATGCTCTTTAGATTCTGAAAAAAAATCATGGAAGCCTGATTGACCAAAATTATTTTACAATTTTTGAAACTTTTGTATATAAGGCTGATTTGCATTTGCTCCCGCGGGTAGTTGGCATATATTTTGCTTTTTGAGCTTTTATGGTGTTGCAGAGGGCTTTTACTAGTTTCAGTCGAAGAAAACATGCAAGCTTGATACCGAGATGTTCAAATGCCTATGTTGACTAGTGCAGCAGGTTATTTCTTTTAATTTTGCAGTAAGCGATAAGTGGGCTTCTTTCCACCTGCCAAAAAAAAAAAAATTACGAGATTTTCTGCATCTAATGCAAAGGTCAAATTGAAAGGACAGAAATTGTCTGGGGTGGTGCTTAACCCTAACCCCCATCAGGTTTTCTTTATGTTCCCTGCTAAATGCAACGATATCCAGCACAACTGAAATGAGAACCCTGCTAAATGCAACAAACTGCAACAGTGGATTCTGTTGCATTGCCAAGTGTTTCCCAGTATACAGCAGCCTTGGCTCCAAGCAGTTACCCTACATAACCAGATGCAACAGTGGATTCTGTTGCATTGCAAAGTGCTCCCCAGTATACAGCAGCCTTGGCTCCAAGCGGTTACCCTGCTAAATGCAACAAATTGCAACAGTGGATTCTGTTGCATTGCAAAGTGCTTCCCAGTATACAGCAGCCTTGGCTCCAAGCAGTAACCCTGCTAAATGCAACAAACTGCAACAGTTGATTCTGTTGCATTGCAAAGTGCTTCCCAGTATACAGCAGCCTTGGCTCCAAGCGGTTACCCTGCTAAATGCAACAAACTGCAACAGTGGATTCTGTTGCATTGCAAAGTGCTCCCCAGTATACAGCAGCCTTGGCTCCAAGCAGTTACCCTGCTAAATGCAACAAACTGCAACAGTGGATTCTGTTGCATTGCGAGTGTTCCCCAGTATACAGCAGCCTTGGCTCCAAGCGGTTACCCTGCTAAATGCAACCAAATGCAACAGTGGATTCTGTTGTATTGCCTTGGCACTATGAAAAGTTACCCTGCTAAATGAACAAACTGCAACAGTGGTTTCTGTTGCATTGCAAAGTGCTCCCCAATACACAGTAGCCTTGGCTCCAAGCAGTTAGTTACCCTGCTAAATGCAACCAGATGCAACAGTGGATTCTGTTGTATCGCCTTGGCACTATGAGCAGTTGCCCTGCTAAATGCAACAAGACGCAACAAAACACAGGGACTTGGGTTGCCTGCTAAATGTAACAGTATGCAACAACTTTTATCATTGTTGCTTTCTGTTGCATGTAGCAGGGTTAGGGTCAGGCCTGAAACGTAATCACGACATGCTTTGTTTGCACGTTTGCTTTCTTATGGGAGTCAAGTGGGGTCGAGAGCCAACAAGTGTCATTGATATCTCGGGTCTATTTACCGCATTGTGTTGCGTGTTGTCAAGTACAGTGTTGACTGGTAGGAGTTGGTGCAATTGACCTTTGCATCGTGTGCAGAAAGTATCGACGCCGTTACTTCTGAACGATTAAAGATTAAAAAATTACTGAAAGACAGACTTTCATTGCATTTTATGAAAGCCAAGCTATGAAAAGGGTTAGCGCCTCATTAATTAAAAGGGAAGAAAATGGGAGAATTTCGGCACCCTTTTTTTCAACAAAATGTGCAAATTACGGAAACACCAGTATTAGAGTGAGTGGCAGCATTAGCATTAAACTAATGGTGTGAATAACGTTATAGATGCCACACGCTTACATTAATATTTGCATGCATTGAAGCCAGCTGTGTCGATATTATACACATTCACAAGAATTAGCTTGGCTATTAATGTTATTTTTATCAATTTTGTTAATGATTTTTTTTTTCTTGATTGGACGTCAAATGCTTGTTAAGCTAATTATGCTGTGTATATTTTTTGTTAGTTTTTCTTCAGCTTACTTTTTAATTGGATTTGAAGGGTTTTGTTTGTATTATTACAAGTGAACTAATGTTGATTTCTTTTGCTCCACCAACCAAGGGAGCATTGGCATTCTGCAAATAGTGAAGGACAAAAATATAAATTTGGTAATTTGCCTTTCTAGGAGAGAATCAATATTGAGGACCTAATATTTACAAAGGCTTTTCTTTTACGGACATTTTCAGGACACTTTTGAAAAGTCTTCAAGAAATTATTTAATAACAATCTGAAGAAAAACAAAGGAACATATCTGCTGGGGTGAAGCAGAATTTTTGGTGATGTCTTGATTTGGTTGGGTTATGCCTAAATATAGTTAAAATCTGACCAGCAAAATGTTGTGCAGATTCATTTAATAAAAATTAATTGTTTCACAGAAGTGCATAACGTTTTGTTAATAAACAACAAATGCCTACCTCATCTCAAATATTTTACATGATCAAATTTCCTTTTATTTACAGAATGCTAATGTTCCCTTTTTTTACAACAGACCAAAACCGTTCTTGTTACTTTTACAGTTTGCTATTTTTTTATACCATTTGACTTGTCATCCCTTTAATTCCACCACCTTCGCCATCCCACATCACTGCCATCGTCCATCCATTCATATGTTCACTTTATACCCATCTATTCCACCACAATCTTGGGGGAAAAAACCCCAAAACCAAAAGGCATTCTCGAGTGTTCCACAAGTTCCCAAGGTAACCCATTTTATCTTTACGCATTTTGTACAATTCTGTCTTTACTTCATCCCTGGGCGACCATGATATTTGTGAATGTTGGTGCAGAATGACGGCAATATCTTTTGACCAGTCCAACTTTCTTGCACATGTCATCATGTGTGCAAACTGACACTAAAATCGAAATACATGTACTAACTGTAAGGCCAAAAAAAAAAAGTCTCCGGTTTCTGGTATGCGCGCGTGTCGCCGTAGCCATGCGCGTCGGCAAAATGAAACAGTTTTTTTTTCCATGAAAGATGATGTCTCAAAACCGCCAAACTCACTGGTTTGACTGGAATCCTGCTGCTGCACAATTTTAACGTGTTTTTAGATGGGGTTATGATCGAGAATAAGCTTTATGTGGCCTCTCTGGTCTCCCATAATATTTGCACTAAGTTTAGTCGGGCACCATTTGCAGTCATCAGCCGACATTTGAAGCAAATAAATCAGGTTAAAAAAAAAAAAAAACGCGTCGCCGCACCACTTTTTGGGCAAGCTCCATACCAGACACCGGAGACTTTTTTTGTGTGGCCTAACTGAGCCTTCCCACCATTTTTATTCTTGATTAGCATAGTGTTATGTGATGCGCATGTTCAAAACTGCATGTTGAGACCCCAGTAGATTCTAACACATGTTGAATTAAACAATTCTTAGTCTCGGTCTTATCCATGTGAGTTTTTAAGACTATGCATCTGGAATAAGATCCATGGTTGATCAAAATTAGACACTCTCTATTCTAATTTTTGTTCTACGGTTTCAAATTTTATAAACTTTTCAAGTTTAGGCTTTAAAGGAAGTTGTCATCAACACATAACTCATAAATTACTTGCACTTACTCATAAATTACTCATAAATTGAACCAATAAGTGTTTTCAAATTCGGAAGACTTTTTGACTGACCAGACCGAAGATAAAAAAGTTATGTCTAGTTTTAAATTTCCGGATATTCAAATGCTATGTGAAAATTACCTCATGAAATACGTTCTTGCGAGATGTCATAAAGTCGCCATACACTTGTGTTTGGATTTTTAACAAATAAAGCCTTCCTCAGTCTGATAAATAAATGGATAAATAAATAAATAAGTGAAATGTTAAATTCCCAAACATCTTAAATATTTGTGAAAGATGATGTGAGACAGTTCATCAGTAGGAATATAGTCATTCCCATCTCCCTCCTCCTTCCTCATACCCCAAGCCCCACCCCTCCCTCCTCATCTCTATCCACATTGATGTCTTCTTTCTCTTTGTTTCCTTCCAATTGGATCCTGATGCTGACCGCTGTGTTAATTTTTTTCGCTGTTCCCTTTGGTTGTTATCCCCCCTCTGTGGCAGGACGAAGATGGGTTGGGGCGCGGCAGCATACGCAGGTTAAAAATCCCGCACACGCCGTCCTTTAGGCGGAAGGTATATAAACCACACCCCCTTCTGTTTTTCTCTTTTTTCCCTCCCTTTTTCCCCCTTTTGCATATTTGCACCCTCTTTTTGCATTGCATTCATTTTTCACCTTTTTTCAGCTCTTGGTGGTATTGCATTGTTGCTTTTTCATCGGGTGGAAAAAAAATGCCGTGGATTCCGTCATTGTGGTTGAATACTGTTTTAGTACAAAGCATTGTGGGATAGATGTGTCTAAATGCAGCGAACAGTACATGGCATTTACGCGCGCTAGGACAACTTCAATCAAGGATCGTTGGTTGACTACTTGGTGATTTCGTAACGTACGTTGAGCGCTGATTTGAAAGCGCTCAAGTCTTTGGTCAAATTAAGGTCAAAATGTCAACGCAAAACTTTTCAGCCCTGGCTTCTGTTGTGCATTATGATGCTCCTGGCTGTAGATGCACACAATCACTGTATATTCATGGAGGCCCCTTCAATGGATAAAGCATTGAGCCAGCTATTGTACAAAACAGCAGTTGGATGGCAGATTATCTGAACAATAGCTAGCACAATGCTTTCGCCATTGCAGGGGGCCACCGTGGGTGTACAGTGACATGGTCGTAATGGTCCATTGATTACTAGCAACATAACTGACCACAATAGGCTGGTCCAGACTAGATTTGGTTATAAAAGTGAAGTTAGTTAAAATTTGGTTAACCAAAGTTCGTGCTCAAACGTGTTCTTAGATGCAACTGGGGTTTTTTTTTTTTGGGGGGGGGGGGGGATTCAGGCCCTGTGTCCCACAATTCTTTTGAGCAGAATGATATTCAGCCAAAATGACCGAGTATTCATGGTGTAGCTTATGTCTGTGTGGTTGTTAGCGGCCGGGAATCGGGTGTACATTCATTGAAATTCTGTCGTGGAATGACATGTTTGCAAGCTTGAAGACCGACTACGTATATGAAAAAAAAATGTTTTCAAATCTCTCAGAGCCTTACCTTTTGGGTCATAATGTCCTAAACCACACTTTGCCGTATTTTTTCCCTCCTTTTTACCCCCGGAATAAAAGCTTTTAGAGTTATAAACCATCTGTCATAAGTCCATTTGCATGCTTTTTTTTCCATGCATTTTGAGGCAAAAAACGTACGGCCGACATAATGTTTATGAAAGTAATGAGATTTTTGAAAATAATTTCACAAATTGATAAGGTTGATCATCGGATACTGGTATGAAATTTTGAATTATTTAATGAGATCCTTGAACTAAAACTTTATTATATTCCTAGAATATCCATTCCCGCAATATGCATCAATTTGCAATCCTGACGTGTATTTGTCCATGCTAAACCCTCTACAAGCGCTTTTGCAAAAACCTAAATAGTCCTCTATCCTGCCTTCTGGCCGTGTTAATATACCAGGGTTTAATGCATTGATTGTGCACCTGTTTATTTTCCCAAAAAGTACAAGAGAAATGGAAAAAAAGCTCAAGCTTTGCTTTTGTTATTTGCCGTCTTCCAAGGGCACCCGCAGTTCTATCAAAATGCAACAAAACAACAAATAGTCTCTGAGAAAGCTGTGTAGCGCTAGTGTAATGGGGGTTTCAGAAGTAGAAAAGCAACAATGGAAAAAAACAATGGAACCCCCCTCACCCATTAATAACCCGTTCTCTACCTAAACACCCCTCCTTTAAAGGCATACAATGTAGGATCATTTGCATTTATCCCAAAGGTACCCTACCGAATTATCAAAAAGCTTACTTGGATTAAAGATTGTACTGGCTCTTAACACCCCGTGAAATTATTCCGTCTGGCTTGCTGTCATTTAGAAAAAATCAAGAAATGTAGGTGATTGCCGACAATGAATCAGTCAATTGACTGGTTTTTTTTAAAATATAGAGTTCTGTTGAAGAAATCGTGTTTCGTGATCTGATCAAAAGGTCGTGCACGGTTTTTCACTGTTTTCTCAAAAAAGTGTAATATCCACTGAGCTGAAACTTCAACAGGTTAGGTGCTTAAACATTCATCTTTGGATTTTGAGAGCTGTTATTTTTGGAAACGAACAAAATGCATGAAAAGCAAATGATCCTATATGTGCCTTTAAAAATTGCCTTTGCAGCTTTTTACAAGCACAGTCTCCATTCTGCCCAACCACCTCTGTCAGTATAAAGTTCACAAGATTACAAATTTCAAATCAGAAATTTCTCAATTAGAGATATTCTATTTTTTTTGTGATGTACATGCCCCATGTATCCTGACCATTGCACTGTTACACGTGTAGTTTTTAGTACAGCCTGTCTAAAAATAATGGTACAATCAGAAAAAAAATTGGTTAAATATGAAATTTCAAAATAAGTCATTCTTACTTGGCATAATATTAAAGAACAAAGACTGGGCTTTCCAATAGTGTTTGTTTGATCTTATTTGCTTTTGTCAATTCAGAGATATAATCAATTTAGTGTGATACACCAAAATCCATTTTGTGCCACTTTTATGCATGGGCAGAGTTGTTTTGAGTACTGTGCCATGCTGTCTTGAAGCTCACAAAAGATTGCAACTTGGCAAAAGAAACAAACTCGATTTTTGTGTTCCGCAGTAAACTGGAGTTATCTCTGGATTGACAAAAGCAAATGAGATGAAACATAAAGTATTGGAAAGCCTGGTCTTTTGTCTTTAATGTGATACTCAAAACGACTTACTTATGTTGAGATTTAATATTGAAAAAAAAAATTGTTTTCGATTGTACCATTTTTTTTTTTAGACAGGCTGTAGAATGTAACACCGATCGTTTTGCCGTTCACACACACCTAGACTGTGTAGCTGTTGTTGAGTTGAGAAGTTTACAGTAGGCACTAGTTAGCAAATTATTAATGATTTTAGTTTTAAAATATCAACTTTTTTTTCGGGGGGGGGGGGACCATTTGAACCACTTTTTATTTAAAAACATGGTCATATAGTAACCAATTTAATTTCCTAGCACGCACGCCTATGAAGTTCAAAATAGTCTGGTGCTCATCATGTGCTTGTGGTTTTCACTGTGGTCGACATCAGGGCTTCAGATAACATGTCAAAGATGGCGGCTGGTTATTGTGCAAAAAATAACAACCATTTTAACACATTTGATTAACCATTAGCTGTACTGTCTATGTGTCGGATATTTAGGGCACTTTTTACATTTGAAAAAAAAAATGATACGAACGATTTTATTTTCCCATGACGCATGAACGTTGCACATTTGCATGATATCACTTGTAACTTGAATGAAACTATTCTCACAGTATGTATTTTTTGTTTTTGTTTCTTTTGGGATTTATAAAAAATATGTAATCGTTGTTAACTGGGTGTTGTTCCTTTGGAAAAAATGCTTTGCATGCTTTTATCGCTGCAAAAGTGCACTAACCGCATCTTGGCATGACTAACAATGTCCCTCTTTGCTGAACATTCATAGAATCCAAGATTTCAGGGAAAGAAAATGCATTTTCAAGGCATGATCATTGTTTTGAAGTGTTGAAAAAATGTCTTTGCAAAATGTGAATTTATCTTCAAATCTGTTTTTCTCCTTTCTATTTTCAATTCTTGTTATTTCTCGTTAACTTTCCCTTTTCCTTGAAGATGTTCTTGTCAGCTCCTTAACTGTCTGTTACCTGAAGCCTCTTTCCTTAACTAACAAACTTTCGAAATACTTTGATTTCCTCTAATTTCCGTATTTGGTCATGTTCTTTTTCACCTTCCCTAATTTGCATTAGGGATGTGCCAAATATACTGAATATTCGATTGTGCGATCAGCAGGCAATATCAGAATGGCATTTTTTTTGGGATCAGATACCGAGGGTATTTGAAAAAAATGTGCAAATGATGAATAAAGCCAATAAGGTTATCTTTAATCATATAAGTTGCGTGGTTTCTGTTTGTGAAATGCCACACTTTTGTCGAAAGCCACTTTTGTGCATTATTTGAGAGCTTCCAGCACGAATTTCTTTTTTTCTTTTCTTTTTTAAATTGGTCAAATATCAGCCAGTCCGCTACCCATTCTGTGTATTATTTTAATAAGCTATTTGTCAATTTGCCTAGGCAAATCACGTTTAGTGGCAAGTTTAAGCTGGCACGTGTTAAACTTGATCGGCACAAGTCGTAGAGTCGAACACTCGATCAAGTCTAAATTAGAATAATCGAATACTAAATTATTCCAAAATGCGCGTCCGTAATTTGCATTGTGACCTTCTTCTCCCAGCACTTATATTCTCTTTGCCAATGTTGACTTAATTTGTCATTTTGTTTTTCTTTCAACTACTGATTCCCATTACCTGTGGTACCCATGTTTTTCTTGAATAACTTCCTTCTTATCACATACGTGTATCTTAAGTGTGGAGTGTCATGGCCTAGCGGTTAAGAGCACTGGACTCATGCTCTGGTGTTTCAGAGGCAACAGTGGCGTGGGTTCAAGCCCGCCGGGTGGACACTTGTGCCCTTAAGCAAGGCACTTAACCATTATTGCTTCATCCTTCGGATGGGACGTAAAGCCGTAGGTCCCGTGTGTTGTGTAATCCAATGCACGTAAAAGAACCCATCAACACTTATCGCTAAGAGAAGGGGTTTGCCCCGGTGTTTTCTGGCCTCCTGTTAAACTCCCCCGCGGAGTATTTAGGAGAAGAGCCAACCAAGGACCTTTCAGAGTACCATCCCTTTCTTCGCTTTTACCATATTCTTTTCCCATAGTTTTTTTATTTTTCACTTTCTAATTCTGACTTAACATGTAACTTGTACACCTTCCTCTGTATGTTTTCCACTTACAAACTAACATTGTAATTGACCTTGTCCTGCTAGTTTTCCTTGCAATCCTTTTGCTCAGATTCTCTTTCTCTCTCGTTCTTTATATCTTCACCTTTTCTTCTTAAAGACTTTGTTTTGAGGATTTTGTTGACTTTATTGTGGCTAGCCGCCTGTTCACAGTATTTTGCATGAGGCGCTTGCATCAACCTTGTCCATTTCATGAAAAAAGTGGGGTTTTTTTCTCCAGTAGTCAGACTATTTACACATGTTCAGCTTTTGTTTTGGACAACTATTGTAAACAGCACACAATTGTTGTTCTCCATACAACCATTGGGAAGACTGCAATATCTCTGGCAAAAAATTTGTTTTTAATAGCGTCAAAATAATGGTGTTTGTTTGATTGCTTCAACACTGCTTTGCTTCAATATACTTTAGTCATAGTATGCACAAACTAATGCATTGAAAAACCAAAGGCTGTCTATACATTTGACAAATTTCAACTGCATTTAAATCGCACTGCAAACATAGGTGATGGCAAAGGCCCTTGCAAAATTATATATAGCACAGGCAAGCAAATTGGAATTGTGTTTGGGAAAATGGTGGGTTTTTTTTTAAATTGTTTTATTTAAATACCTTTTCTCTAAGTTGGGATGTTTTCCTTGTCCTCGTTTCTCTTCTCAGCCGGAACCATCAGAAGACTTCAGCCATTTGCAGCCTGCTCAACAAAAGCGCGAACTCCAGAAGAAAATTGATGAGCTGCAAGAGAAAGTGTCATCGGAAATCAAATCCAAGTAAGAAATACAAACCCTACCTCGTCATCAGCCACCCAGTCTAAAGTCAAGTAAGAAGCTATTGAAGTGAATGGCAAAAAAAGCCATTCAGAAGCTAGGCTGCAATTCCAGCTTGTTCCTCCTTTGGTGCCTTACTGGGAGGGGGGGGGGGGGTGTTCTGGTTCAGTATGTTAATACATATTGAAGTCAAGGGGGAGTCAGGTCGGCACAGCGGTTTTTTTCTCGCCCTCCACTGCTGTGACCCGGGTTCGAATCCCGCCTGGGCCAACATGTTGATCGGGTTTTTAGTCCCTGCCTGATTCCCTGGGTTTTCCTCAGAATATTCCCCCGGGGTTTTCCTCCCACCTCTAAAACTGTAATTTCTTCTCATTGTCTCCTCTCTACAGGGTTTTTCAGGCTTGCGAGCTACAGTGCCTGGGGCGCTTTTCAGGAATCCTTGGTTTCATTATCAGAAATAATGATATTAAATAACGTATGTCCTTGTTCAGGATCATCCTTCAAATCTTATAATACATGGCAAAAAAATATGTTGGGTTAAGGGCAAAACCCCACATTTTATTCAAACATTTTGTGTATTACCATTAGGTTTTGCCAGCAGAGGCTTAGATATAATTCTGCAACCAGACGGGAGGTCAAAGCTGTAGGCGAAGCCTCCGTTTCGGAAAGCTGTACACCTCATGACCTCTGACCTTTCCTTCCTGGTTTTCTCACGCAGGGACGCAGTGCTGAAGATGAGGGATGTGTACTCCCAAAACCCCAGCCTAGGAGACGCGGCATCACTAGAGCCACAACTGATGGAGATAGGAGCAAGGCTGGACTCACTGCGACTTGAGCTACAAAAGTACCAAGTAAGCCTTGACCAACCCATCCCCTCCTTGGGGATATTATTAGTTATCTTGCGAGCGCGAGTGGAACACGGAATAATGTAGTGCGTCTGTGTCCCACATACCATGAGGCCGAAGGCCGAGTGGTATGTGGGACACAGACGCACTACATTTTCCGTGTTCCACGAGCGCGATAACGAATTTATCTTCAAGCAAACTTGACGCACAGTAAAGTTGGAACACGCAACCTACGCACAACTTTTGAATTCACAGTGAATTGTGCAGCACTAATCGCGTCACGTAGGCTTAGAATAGCGCAATACTCGGAGTGCGGTATGGACCGTGGCCATGCGGTATGGTTATATGTAGCACGGCTTGTTGCCATGGATCGACCAATCAGGATCGAGGATTCAAGTTTGCTTGAAGATAAAACATGATGTATGTATTAAAGCCAGAGTCCATCATTTGCAGCTATCCAAAAAATAACTGGCATATTTATTGTTGAAAAACATACTTGGTTGGAAGATAGTAAGGGGACTAAACTCCCTGTGAAATTATTCTTTCTGGCAAGCTGTCATTTTGAAGAAATCAACAAAAGGAGGCCTTTCCAACAGTGCGTCTCAAGAAGCACCGTTGGCAATTTCCGTTAGTAGTTCGTTTTTTTCAATAGGGGAAGTGCGCGCGAGCATTGGCACGACGCACACGCGCGTGCGGTTGCTATAATTCGTTGGATCGATGCGCGACATCGCGTAGCTGCAATCGGCTCAGTGAGAACGTGTCTCGCGGGCTGAATTCAGGCCCAATTCAAAACATGATTCAGCAACTTTTGATTTGAAATCGAGATCCTAGAATGTTGTTTTCTCAAAATATACAGCTGAAGCTGAGCTGAAACTTCATCAGGTTAGCTGTTCAGCACCCTTCTCTAGAATTTGAGCACTATTGTTGCTTCAAACGAACAAAATGCACAAATTACAAATGATGGACTATACCTTTAATGTAAATTGATATCAATAAGTAGCTGTACCATATTCAAGCATCCACCAAGCGTTGGTGGGCGCTTGAACATGTTCATGAATGTCTATAACTGCTGTCTACTTGTACCCGAGCCACCCCCCAATAGAGACCACTTGGTAAGCCAAACTGAATCAAACACGCTGGTCCCTTTGCAAGGCTTTTTATACCCAGTCTACAAGGTACAATTTAAAGAATGCTTGTACTGGGGAATGGGAACACAGCTGCCAATTTCTTTTGTGGTGAACATCAATGAAATCTCAAACCCACAGCAACTTTGGCCAAGTTCGCGCAAGGACTATAGTTGACCAATGGTTAACTAACGTTTGCCCGAACTCTGTCTAGTCGACGGTGGTTGGCTACGCTAGTCGACTATTTGGAACCAGCCTACTGGGGTTGGTTGCTTCGCTGGTAACCAATAGCCGCGCGCATTCATAACGCTAGCAGAGAGCCAGGATCCAGAACTTTTGGATGACATTTTGACCATCGTTTGACTAGAGACGTTCGCACGTTGCTATCAGTGCGCATGCGTAAGGTACGTCACAAATCAACCACTAGTCGACTAATGGTCCTTGCCTGAACTTGGCCTTAACTGCTACTATATATGAACAAAAAATATTACCCCAGTTTTGACAGGTGTTGACCAAATAAGAAATACCATAACCATTTGCAAAATAAATAGCCAGTATGGAACACATTTCAATGATAAAACACGGACTTACTAAGTCAACTGGTCACAATTGTAAGCGGGATTGGACTGCAGTAAGCACGTAGCGGCGCTGTGATGGTCCAAGGAGCAAGTTTCTTAGATGCAAGTGATGCTAAGCACAAATGGGGAGATTCCAGTGCATCAAGGCTAAGCGAGATTCCAGGCGGGCCTGCGGTAAGCGCGAAGCAACAAAGAGGTCATACAAGTGGAAAACGTTCCTAAGCATAAACGGGTAGATATCAAGGCTAAGCGAGATTTCAAGTTGGCCTGGTGTTAATAGTCCCCTAGCAGCACTGCAGTCATGTCGCTTAGCATAAATAGAGTGATTTCAAGGCATCCATGCTAAGCGTGTTTCCAGGGTTGGCCTGCTGTTAGCACATTGGGTCACAGAATGTATCTGGGGGGCCAGTTTCGTAGACCTTCTAAAGTGCAAATTTTACCGATCTATTTATCTTTAAAAAATTTCTGCTTACAGTTTCCCACTTTTTTTTAGGGAGTATAGAATTTTCGGTAACCGTTACACAAACTAAAGTACATTACCCGCCTTGGAATTTGACGCTTATTGTTAAAAAAAAAAAATCTTACGTTTGGCAATAAAATGTCTGTAAAATGGTAAGCATCTATGTTAACTTTTACTTAGAAGATTTCAGGAACTCGTAAGCCTTGGCTCAGTTGAAACTTCTTAAAGACGTTTACACATGTGTTCTCCATTGGAGAAGATCAACAATGTTTGCAACAATCAACAAAAAAATTTTCACGAAGTAGTTTCGAATAAAAACAGTACTGAGACTTACATTGTAAGTTAGGTAAGAAATATTAATTCGAAGAGAAAATTAATTTATTAAAAGAACTTGCATCTTTCATAGAGCCATATATTTTCTACACCACTTGATATTTGTTTTCATCATTTCTTTATCTTTGCCAATCAGTTAGTTGTGTTGTCAGATCTGTCAATATTTGTTGTTGTTTTTCTACATCGCATCATTTCTGATCTGTGCATGATCTTGTTTACTTTCTAACTCTCTCGCAGAGAAAAAAAATTACCCAGACTTTTTTTAAAAACTAGTATTGGATAGATGTATTGGTTATTTGGATCATTTGCAGGCCTTGTTTTGAAAAGTTTTAAGTTCGTTAGGGTGGGTCCACCCTACACAGCCTCATTTGAAAGCTTTTACTGCATGGGTTCTGAAACAGATCCAAGTAATATTTGTATCCTGTTAATATCTGCTTGTTAATTTAGCCTAAGTTGAAAAAAAAAGTCTCAACAAGTTTAGGATTTTCTTGGAATGTTTTTTTTTCCAAATGGCTTGTGATATCTAACTACCATGATGGTACTTAATCCCTTAATCTAGTCCCTAATCCTCGTGATCTGATCCAGTGACTCTTCCGATCATATAATCACTCTATGTGACTTGTTAATTTACCCTAAGTTGCAAAAAAGTTTCAGCACGTTTTGGGTTTTCCGGGATTTTTTTTCTCCAAACCGGCTCAGGATAAATAAACACAATGATGGTTCTTAATCCCTGAATCTGGTCCCTAATCTTCTCAGACTGATCCAGTGGCTCATCCGATCACGTAATCCCTTGTAGCTGCTAATCCCTCCACTCTTTTCCATTCTGTGTCCACGCAGAAGTTCATGGGCTATACAGCGTATAGTCATAAAGAGACTAACTCACTACCGTCGAATAGTGTAAGTATCGGGCCCCGTACTGGGGCCGACCAGTCGGTACTCATGCCTTGCCTTGAATGCGCTGTTGACTTCCATGGCGGCCATTTTTTGTTCCTCGCTTAACGTCACTAAAGTATGCTTTGTAAAAAAAATATTGCCATCCTGGATTACACAGATATTTTCAAACACATAAAGCTTACAGCAATAGTCAACTGACATTAGTTTCTAACTCTCCACTGAGCTCAACATTTTTTTCCTACTTGAATTTCAGCTTATTGTGCATTCTATGTTACATTGTACATGTAGATTCCATTTGGTGAAATCTTTTAATCCTGTACCTGGGCCTTGTCAGGTTAGCAGTTACCAATATCTGGATTCTGCATGTGGGATATCCTAGGTAGTTTAGATTTGCGAGGTCACCGACGTGCCACACAAAAATGGCACCAAGAAAGGTGTGATAGAGTGCTGGGGTTAAACAACAAAACAAAAATTACCATTCATAAAACAGGGATGTCATGAGCTAGTACTTGGAGTTTGCTTCTCATAAACTCATGTAGAATTCTAAATCTTTTGACCTCGCTGTCTGTCAGAAATCAGGATGCTGCATCTTTTTGTTATAAGAATGGAATTCTTTACTCGAAAGCATTTTCAAACCTGTCCTCATCTTACAGTGACACTTCATCAGTTTCTGTCTGAATGCTTTGCCCTTGAGCATGCTCAAGACGATCAACATTTCCATCATTTGAAAAGAAACACACAGAGGCATTTTCTGTCTATTCCGTTGTTCAGTCTCTGGATCATTTCTGCCTGTTTTCATATTTCCACTTGAGCTGAACTTTTTCACGATACTGTTTCTGAAAAAAAAATCCACTTAAACCTCATTCATAAATACTGAAGAGAGTTTACTAATTCCTATCGGTTGAGAGCCCGTCACGTAGGTGGTTTTCAACGGTTGATAAAACACCGACTGGTTCAAACACTTTATTTCTGCACCATTGCATTCCGCGCCACATCGCACGGTACGAGCCGTGCGCGAGCTATTTTCATAAAATGAGATTGTTTTAGCAGTAAGCACATACCATAGACCTGGCAGGAGGGGTGTTTCACAAAACATGAGGTAAAATCGTTGAACAAAATCGTTGGAAAATAATGTGAATTTTTTACTTTTTGACCGAGAGGTATTTATGAATGGGAATACATTTTTGTAAATATGTGCTTGGCTGGTATAAACAAGCATGTTTCAAACCGGCTAGGGTCATGGTCATGGATGATGGCTGGAGCCGAACATTATCAGCGTCCGTTTTAAATGTACTTAACCAGTCAAGCACGTTTTAAACGCACTTAACCGGTCAAGCACATATTTATTCCCACGAAAGCGAAAGATATTGCATACAAGACATACATGTACTTATAAAATCACTGCAATTTAAAGCACTTCCAAATGTTGGCTTTTGTTAAAAAGTTGGATTCAAGTACAAACCTAGTGGAAGAAATTCTGTTAGGATTGTTTTGTTTTTTTACCTTCTCCATTATCAGCCAATGATGTTCTATTAAATTGAAAACAAGTAAACAATAAAAATTAGATACAGTGGGGGTACTGGGTATTTTTTTTTTAACCAGTAAGCATTTCTTTTTAAATGGTCGCCAAGGGAAATCAGCGCATTCAAATAAAAATTGCAAGAAATGTTTGCCGAAACCGGTGTGGATTTGTTGGAGTGAGCCACCTGCTGTTTTTTTGTTGTTTCTTAGCCGCATGGTTTGTTGACATTCTGTCAAGCATGTTTACTTTTAAAAAGACATTCTTTGCAGCAGTGTCAGTAAATTTTAAGTTGTTGCATTGTTAGCATTTTAACTCATTTTTTTTTTGGTCTCCCTTTTGTTTTGTTTATTACTTTCTATTGTGATGCAGAGATTTATTTTGCATTGTGTATGAATGCTTGCAGTTTACAACTTCTTGTTTTTCCTCTAACAGAAAATTGATACATGGGGAATGGAATTTTTCCGAGACGATTTCCCATATCGTTGGCTGATTGTTTTATTATTAATTTTAGCCTAACACCTTTTTACATTAGTTCGTTAGGGCATGTGTATTGCATTCCATGAGCAGATTCAACCGAACACACCCTTAATGCTGGCCATACTGTTGTTCCATTTAGGTTTGTGGGATAGATGATGGTCATTGAGTACGAAATACATCCATTCAATGCATTCTCCTTGTTTTCATGGAATATATTTTACTTCTAATCAATCTCTTCTGTGATTGCATCTTGCATGATAGACTGCTGTTAAGAATTTTCATGATTTATTTTGAAGAGAAAGTGTTGTAGCGCTGTTGTCTATGAATGTTTTTTTTTAAATGCAACAGCATACATGTGATGTTTTTGTATGGACAAATTTTGGAAACATACATGTTTAGTTGCATGCACTGTGATATTTTTATCATAGTTTCATTGATGTGCTTTTTTTGGTAGTATGATGGACTGTGTGCAAGAAGTCAATATGGCACTGATTTAGAGAAGGACATATTGCGTGAACGTATTGCTTGCACGTGCTTTACAGTATTGAGAACGTAGTTATGTTGTAACGAGCCTATAAGGATTTTTACAAATTAGCTCGTTTTTTGACTTAACGTTTGTTGTTGTGGTCACTGAACGTTTAGACTGCAACAGCAAAATCAGGCGGTGAACCAGTCATAACTTGTAAATGTGGCATTTTAGCTGGTTGCCCGTTGCTACTAATCAAAAGGTGATCACTGAGTGTCTGTGATTTTGGACGAATTGAGAAATGAACCCATTTAGAAAGAAAAAGGGTGAATAAAAATCGTCCAACACCGAAATCACCACAATCCTTAGTGTCATATTCATGTTCATATCGTTAACAAGATTCTTACCACGTTTTTATCACAGAACTACATGGCGACAGCTGAGGGCAAACCCTTCACCCCGCAGGGCACGCCCCAGGGGACACCCCAGGGCACGCCCCAGGGCACGCCCCAAGCCACACCCCACAGCACCCCCATAGCGGACAGGGCGGGCGGCATGAAGGCCGGCTCCACCCACAGCCTGGAGAAAGGAGGGGAGGCAGGTTTTGAGGACCAGCGGTCGGGCTCCAACCAGTCTAGCCCGTCGCGAGAGCTGCCGCGGAACGAGGACACCACCGACCACGCGTTGTCACCAGGGGAAAGCCTGACAAGGTTAGGGTAGTCTGGGTCTCAGACTTGATGTGGAGTTTGTTTCCTTAACACAGCCAGACCCTGACTAGCGCTGCACACGCGCAAATTTACAGAACCGGATATTTTGGGTTTTACAAACTGACATCCTCCACAGTGCGGCACTTTTAGAGCGCACCCCGTGCATTTTTGGTTTCACGAACTGACACTGATCTTAATTTTACCAATTGAATCGCTTTTCAATTAAAAATTTGTATAATCACACAAGATAGATTAAATTTGTGTCAAACCTTTCAAACTGTTTTTCTCCATTCTGTATTGCCGCATCATGCTTGAGTGTCAGTTCGTGAAAACAGTTAAATTAGAAACGACAGTGAGGCTAATTATGCCACTCAGTTTATTTAAAAATAAATTGGCATCGCGCTCCCTTTACCCTAGGCACTTATGTGGCCCAATATTAATTTGGCAAAACTTGGCAAATCATGCACATTGAAACTGACAAACTGTGCTGAAAATTCCAGCATACCAGTTCCGTGACCTCTGCTGACAACCCTTGACCTTTGACCTGATCTAACGTATCTTCTCTCTCTTTTTTCCCTCTCATTCCAGTCCTGTCTCTTCCAGACAAGAGAGCTTTTATGAAGACCTGGAGGACGAGTTTGAAGATCATCCGCAAGTCAAAGCCAAGTTTCCGTTTCACAGTGAGTGCCGGTTCTTTTCTAAGTCACGTGCCAAGACATTTATAATTTTCTTCCTGAAGGATAATTCTATCCTTCCAAAATTCTTTCATAAAAATTTTTTTCATGAAGTGCGAGGAAATAAATGTTGGATTGTTGATTATGTGTCGATCTTTGTTATATCCAACTCTGCTCTTACTTGACCATCTTACATCTTCTCCAGCCCAGAGAGTAAGCGATTGCAGGAAAGTGTCTTGCTGAAGGACACAAGAACCACGATCTCCCTTCACTGGTTTTCTGTCCTCACTGATCCCAATTTTTCCTGTGTGTGTAGTTAGCAATTGCAGTAAAGTGTCTTGCTGATGGACACAAGCGCCACGATCTCATTTGTTTTCAGTCCCCATTTGTTCCTACTTTTATAGTTTGCAATTGCAGTAAAGTGTCTTGCTGATGGACACAAGCACCAGGATCTCATTTGTTTTCAGTCCCCATTTGTTCCTACTTTTATAGTTTGCAATTGCAGTAAAGTGTCTCGCTGGAGGACACAAGAACCACGATCTCATGTGTTTTCAGTCCCCATTTGTTCCTACTTGTAGAGTTAGCAATTGCGGTAAAGTGTCCTGCTCAAGAACACCCTTCATATTTAGAATTCTGCCACTGCACACAAGAGTGGCACATCAGCCACTAAAATTTCCTAAACTCAAATGTCATAAACATTTTCTCAAATCGTCTTTTTATCTTATTTTGCTCACGTCTTTGCTTACAAATGTTCTCTTCCCAGGCGAGGATGAGAACTCTCTAAGCATGGAGATAGGCGATGTACTAGACGTCATGGAGGAGGACACCGGTGACGGCTGGACCCGGGTCAGGAAGGGACACGACGAAGGCTTCGTGCCAACGTCCTACCTGGACTATGAATCATGACGACCGAGTCTGCAGACTTCCTAAAAGGAAAGAGAAAACAAATTGCTTTGTGTCTGGCCATCAAGACTTGGTGCTTTTTACTGATGTGTTGTGTTTTGGTGTGTCGTAGTGGAGGACACTTTTACATAAGAACTCCTAGATCCTTCAAAATTCACCACGAGGTTTTGGAGGGTTTAGGCCAAAAAAAAAAAAGTCTCCGGTTTCTGGTATGCGCGCGCGTCGCCGTAGCCATGCGCGTCGGCAAAATGAAAAAGTTTTTTTTTCAATAAAAGATGATGTCTCAAAACCGCCAAACTCACTGGTTTGACTGGAATCCTGCTGCTGCACAATTTTAACGTATTTTTAGATTGGGTTATGGTCGAGAATAAGCTTTATGTGGCCTCTCTGGACTCCCATATATTTGCACTAAGTTTAGTCGGGCACCATTTGCAGTCATCAGCCGACATTTGAAGCAAAAAATCAGGTTAAAAAAAAAAAAGGCCGCGTCGCCGCACCACTTTTTGGGCAAGCTCCATACCAGAAACCGGAGACTTTTTTTTTTTGGCCTTAGTGGTTTTAGCGGTATAGTGCAACCACTTTGCTTGTATTGGTGCCATTGGGTTTCTTGCAGAGTACATGTTCCTACAACTTCCTAGATACTTAAGGATCAGTGTATGCCGATGAGTATATGGAGACAATTTTGCGAGGGTGCTCGTACACATGATAGTTCTTACGAGTTCAGGTCCTAGCCCAGCTTCTTGAGCATGAGTGAAGGTTTGAGTATGGAATGCAAGTACATACCCAAGTATGAGTACAAGCTTGTATTGAGCAAGATTTATTGTAATCACATTACCAATTTTGCTTACAAAAGGAGAGCAGTCAAGCGAAACCAGAAAGTACTGATAGAACACTTCCAAATGTAGCTGAAGTTTTTTTGCCGTGATTCCTGCATTCCAATTCAACATCCAATGACATAGAAGTGGTGTAAAACAAAAATATACAGAAAGTGAGCCCCTTTGGGGTGGTTCGTCACAGCAAAACATGACTTTTCGCCAACCAACACTAAAGCACTAAAGCCTGATGGTCAGATGCGAAGCAACTTTAGCGTTGAACAATTTGGATTTTTTGGAATGGTGCGATTTATTTGTGTGTCGAAATACTAGTGTTGATTTTATAGTACATGCGGTCAAAGCATACCCGTGGTTATGCTTCGCTATCGAGATACTTTGAAAGTGAAATTGTTTTAGCAAACACGAAAGTGCTGAAGAAAAAAATGCATCGTGGTCACAGCACCATTCGGAATGCATACAATATTTTGTACATGATTTTAAATTTATTGTAATGTCTTCTTTTTGTTTACTTTGAACTGTTGTGGGCATTTTGAGTAAAAACAAAACTCGCGCTTTGCTTGTGTTTGTCTGCTAAATTGTAAGGTTTTATACTTGTAAAAAGAAAACAAGAAGTCGTCGACTAATTGAAAACCGAAAATGAAATTGATGTGGCAGCCTTTTAATTGTAATTATATTTTATTTTTATATTCTCAATCTTGTGTTTGAGAGAAGGAAAAAACCCGACTACGTGCTGACTCACTGTTCAGCAAATGAAGATGCTACTTGATACCAGATTGAAAACACATAAAAGGCAACTAATCTTGACTTAACTTTTGGAGGATAACTTGAAAAACATTACAGAAATTCCGTAATCGAGCTCAATTGCGTCTGGTTCCAGACCCTATTAATGGGTTCAAGGAGAGAGATGCCAGACTACATCGGACAGTTTTCATTGTATCTATGCAGTTTTTGCCTTTTTTTAAAAGTACATTCATGATGGTTGGACCTTTTTTTTATTTTTTTTTATTTCATGACGGTAGAAACAAGTTAAATTTTGAATTAGCACAGTTCAAAACATTGTATACGCTTGAATATCTACAATGCCCAACAAAGAAAACGAGGCCTTTTTTGGGGGTGTGAATTATGTTCGGGATTCTGACTTTATGAATAAGTCAGAAAAACAGTTGAAGATTAAAGTCCCCGAATGTTGAAAATCAGGGCTAACTGTAAATTTGAAACAATACTGCAGTCACCACACATACAGCTTTGCCAATTTTACTAATGTTTCTGTAATTGCTGTAGTTCCAATAACGGCCGGTATGTTGGCTGGTTTGTTTGCAATCGTGAATGAAAAACACATAACGCCTTTAAATAACTTGGCTTTCGAATGTCATAACTTAGTCGAGTGTTCGCATATAATTACTCAAGAAAGGTGAATCGTAATCAACTATCTCACCTCAAGTGAATGTTGGAAATTCTTCAATAATAAACTTGCGAGAAAAAAAAAATCACATCGTAATCAGTATTTACACAATCTTAACTTACTGAAAGAATTAAATCCCTTTTTTTGTGTGAAAGGGTTTGTGTAAATAAATCATTATGTCTGTATTATATTTATATGATGGTGGTGTTAGTGATTTTATGATCTAGTACTTATTGGATAGAGGGAGAAAAAAAAATTGTGCTTATTATTTTGTTATTGCATATCCCTGGCCTTTGTCCTTTCTCTGCATGGTATCTACTAGCTCAAAAAATGCATCACTTTGGCCATTGTCAAATGTAGAACCCATCTGCTACTGGGACATCAAGCTTTGCATTATGTGTCTATTGCAGCCCGTTTGTAAATTATAAAGCATATAATCATACAGTGCCCTATGTAATCACTTCTGTGGTATATTGGTTTAAACAATTGTACATTATTATTTAAGTTTGTTTTGATATATTGTAATGCCTGATTTTTTGGCCAGTTACACTCAAGTGAGGTCTGGGTTTGACTTATCAAGTTAACCACAGTTAAATCAAGTTAATGTGGGTTATTCTGGCATGAATATGACGTTAACCTGTTAACTGGTAAAATAAATGTGGGGGGGGGGGTCTGTTTTTAAATGTTTGAAAAAGACCTGGTTAACTACAGTTGAATTGGCTTTAAAAATTTTGTAAAATGGGATTGTCACTGAATAATTCTCTCTCTTAAAGAAAAGCGTAAAAAGTCATGATTTTTTTTTAAAGACAATCAGTGATGGATTATTGCATTTTTTAATACTCATTGCGTATCAAAAAGAGGCTGTGATGTTAAAAACTCTTTTCAGGGTCTAATTGTCATCCACACAAAATGAAAATGTTGAATGTAGTACTACACTGGTTCATTTTTTTGGGGGAGGGGACTGGCTTAAAATGTTACGTGTAAAATGCATTTCATTTGTATTATTTGAATATTCAAACACGGAATTCGCATTCTTATCCATGCTAGCCTCATATATATTGGTTCATATAGGATTAAGTATAATTGCCAACATTTTTGTGTATAAAGCGAATAAGTTTGCTGTAAACAATTCCTTAAAATTATTTTCCTTTGTTCTGTATATTTTCCCATATACCTCTGTACTGGAGAAGTTCTGTGTTATTTGACATCTGAAAGGGGGGGGGGGGGGGGGGTGAGTCCGTCAGAAAAAGGGGTTTGGCATTTCAAAGAAGGTTGTGTCCCCAAAAGTGGATTTGTTTTGGTATTTTTTCTAAAAGGTGTTAAAAGTAAATATGGGATATTCTGTGATTCCCATTAAAGGGGTATTTTTTTTGTTGTACTGCTGTTGCCTTTGTTACATATTAAGCAGCAAGTTAGTTTACAAATCTGTATTTATCTGTACATGGTTTCGCACAGCAAAACTCGGTTACCAGCTAAAATAATCCTTCACGTATACTACCAGTGGCTTAGTAGTCAATGATGCTGAAAGATGTACTGTCTCAGATATTTTTGAGTTTCACTACCCGCCTCAAAAAAAAGGTAATTTGTTCTAAAATTGCTATTTTTTCAGCAATATTCGGTTGAATCAGACATCTACTGAAATTGATTGGCACTCAATGAATTCTAGACTAATTGCTTTGCACATTTTGGATTTTTTTTTTAGCCCGACAGTTATTCAGGGTAAAACACTTGTCATAGGTCAGAATTCTTTGGAGGGAAAAATGGTTCTGTTTAAAGAAAGCATGGACAGTATATCTGTAAGAAGCTGAGACAACCCATTAATGTGGTGTTTCATCAGTTTATAAGGAAACTACAATATTTACCTAAACTTGAAATCTTCCAGAATTGGTGAAAAACCAACTTTAAAGTGTTGTATGTCTTAATTTGACTGTTTATAAGACTAAAATTTGTGAAGAAAAATTCTGCTGCAACCATTTTGGTCTTCTTCCCATAATCCCATTACATTAACAGTTCCATGGAGTAATTTGCTGTGAGGCACCAGCCTACAACCAACATCGCATGTGTGTGTTGTTTTTTTTTAATTGTCAAACGATCAAGTAAAAATGGTAAAAGAAGCCATTAAAATGGTTGTTTTTTTAATCAAAGCAGTTAAGATGGCTTACTTATGTGGTGATTGTGTCATGTTGTTACTATTTTTTTGCTCTTTAATTGTACCAAGAAGCCATAATTATGTCAGCAACAAAGAAATGCCACAAAATCAATTGAAATTTAACAGTGCTTTAAAATGTATCTTTCAGATAATTGTAAATTGACCTGAAAGATGCCAGGTAGCAAAAATGTGAAATTATTAGAGGGAACTAGTCAATATTAGCTTAGTTAGAATACGGTCATATGTGTTAATGCATAGGTTATCATACACATTTTTGTAGCAAGAATTGCCAGACATCACAATAAAAAAATAATGATAAATTAATATTTTGTAGTTGGCTTTTCATTTTGTCTATCAGTCTTTTTCTGAATTATAACGAGAACAAATTTCGGGGGTCAAAATTGTGACTTCGAAAAATCGAGCTCTTTTGGGAGCTAGTCGTGCTTCCAGTCGCACAGTACTGGGAGGAAATAACCATGGGGTGCAACTTTTTGGCGCTTGAAAATTAAAAATAGCGTTGGCAGAATATCAGGGACCTTGCCTCTTTGGTGGAAATTTTGGACCTGGAGAATTTTGTTCTAGCCGGGTGACCGTAAGGTCAGAACCAAATTCTGCTAAATGCACATCAAAAATCTGCCAAACTCCCCAGAATTACTCGAAATTCACTATTGACACTTAAAATCACATGCTGATTGGTAGTATTGCCTTAATTAAGATTCAAATTACATAATAAACAATCTAGTTGCATAAAGATGTCGTGAAATTATTGGTAAATTTCGGGCAAAATGCCAAGACGGCCACGACGAAGTCCGTTTCCCAGTGAACCTCAGCACCTAGACCAGCCAACCTGTC